GTGCGTGCGTGCGTGTGTGTGTACGTGTGCGTGCGTGCGTGCGTGCGTGTGTGTGCGTGCGGGGCGTGCGTGCGTGCGTGCGTGTGCGTGCGTGCGTGTGTGTGTACGTGTGCGTGCGTGCGTGCGTGCGTGTGTGTGCGTGTGTGTGTGTGTGTGTGTGTGTGTGTGCGTGCGTGCGTGCGTGTGTGTGCGTATAGGTGATATGCTGTACGTGGCAGGGGCACATCCCCTCCTACCTACGCCTGCACGTGTGGCCCTGTCTCGCCTCCTGTAGCCCTTGCATTCACTTCTCGTTATTGATAGCAATCGGTTGGAATTGCACCCAACCGATCGATGATCAAAGATAATCGGTTGAATGTTATTGATCGCTGCCACCAGAAATATATATATATATAATATATATCATATAATACAGCATTTTTTATAATACAATATTGTAAAAGCTATGCAACAGTATTATACTTGCTTATGTTTGGTGTTGGTTAGATTTAAGCTGTAAAGTAACCGAAAAAAAACACACAGAAATGAAATAAAGAGTCATTTCATCAATGTTTGCACATTTTATATTAAAAAAATGTAATTTTTAAATTTTATTTTTATACGAGCGCTTGGTCGGTTGCTGCAAACGACTGACTTTCGATGATAATCGATCATCGATTCCTTCTCATCGCGTCTTGCTCTCGATTTCAGCTGGCCGCCGCGCCCGCAACAATGCGGAAGGCCCTCGGCTCGCCCCACTCTAAGAAGCGTCATGCGTCGGCGTCGAACAAGGGTTTCGGCGTCGCACTCCGGGATCTGCTCGCGCAAGAAGAGAGCATCCCGTTCATCATGTGTCGCATCTGCGACTACCTGCGTCTCCATGGTGAGCGCACGCGCGCACGCACGCACGCACGCACGCACGCACGCACGCACGCGCGCACACGCGCGCAGGCAGGCAGGCGCACGCACGCGCGCGCAGGCAGGCAGGCGCACGCACGCACGCAGGCAGGCAGGCACGTGCACAGATGCATGTACAGCGCACGCACGCACACGCACGCACGCAGGCATGCACGCGCACGCAGGCAGGCACGCACGCACGCACGCGCACGCAGGCAGGCAGGCAGGCAGGCATGCGCACGGATGCATGTACAGCGCACGCACACGCACGCACGCAGGCTGGCACGCACGCATGCACGCACGCGCACGCAGGCAGGCAGGCAGGCAGGCATGCGCAC